GGGTCCTGTAATGAAGAAAAGATTTATGTCACCTTATTTCAGCCCAAATAGCAGCAGCTTCGGCTTGTCTCAGCCCAGTGCTTCTATTTAAATGTTACTTTCATATATTATGTGGCATTAATTTAACTATAGCTCATTAAGGCAGAATGAAATGGTTAAATTAACTTATCAACCCATAATGATGATGAATGAGGTATTAATTCAGATACAAGCTGGGCAATTTGCAAGTTTACGCATTCTGATGGTTCTCAAATAACATTTTGAATAGCGGGTCAGCGCCTCAATCAATTACATAAGCATGTAAAGTCGGTCTTTCGGAAAAAAATCCTTTTTCATGCATATGCATTAAAACATGTTCGCAATTATCCTCGGAAATTGCCTTCATTGGATTAAGCAGCAGCCTTGGACGCGGGTTCTGATCTTCCCTGGGCTTTTATTAAAGCTCTGAGCAGCTTTGGCAATAACAGAGTGAATGGGCTGTTTGTTTAAAGAGTGTTTACCCAAGAAAGGGGCCGGCGGGGCGCACCGATTGATAAACACTGACCCATCTCCTTCGGAGAAGTTGTTAGGAATTGTCGGCCCGCCCAGCGGCTGGGGAGAGAGCTCGGTCAGCCATGACGTCGGCCGGCGCTTCGGCTTTCCTGGCCCATAATTTGCCCCTGTCTCAAAGCGAGTCTTGGGCCCAGTATGGTGCCCCTGCGTGGCCCGGCGTTCGCCCTCTCAGGGAGACTTGGGCGGGGACTGAGAGGGTAAACCTGGCCACTTCTTGAGACCCTTGGTTCCTCCAAGCCAGACTAGGAGACGATTTACTTATTCCTGGGACAGGGATTGCAGACCGGGGTTTTTAATGAGCCCTTTGGCAAGAGCTGAGTCAAGGAGGCGGTGACCCCCGTGTTTCTACCCCCATGCCAAGACTGCTGGGGAACCTGGTAGATCTCCTGCTAGATTTGGCAGCTTTTCTGAGGGAGTGGTAGTCTAGCCCAGGTTCTTCCCAGGAGTGGAAGCTGCAGGAGGACAGGGTTGGCCTTAGATTTCTAAGCCCCAATCTCCCTCCCCTCTCCCTACGAAAGCAGCGCTGGTTTGCCAGCCTCGAGGCCTGACTCAAATTGTGGCAGGCAAGATTAGAGCCCCTGGGCAGAATGCTTTGCGGAGAGGGACGAGGGATTAAAATGGGTGTTCCGCTAGGGACTCATTACCTTCCACTGCCTCCCCTCTCCACTGCTCCCGCCCCCCCGCCTTTAAAAAAAACCTTTAGCGCTTTCCATTTGCCAGGTACTGTTAAGGACACTTTTTACATATTAACTCACTTAATTCTTACCCCACTCTTATGAGATAGTTTCTGTTATTATCTCCATTTTACTGAGGGGTAAGCTGGGCTGCTTGATAGACACTTTTTCTAAGTGGCAGACCAGAGTTCAGCCCCCCGCTGCCCAGATCCTGAGTTTCTGATCTCAGCCACTAGGCTAAGCTGCCTCAGAAGTCTCGGCCTCAAAGAAAGGTATGTGCGGGTAGGATACCCGTATGGGGAGGGGGGCTCCCATGGGGCAGATCTGCATTTACTTTGACCAAACAAGAAGGAAGGACTTCTTGAGTGGGCAGAAGGCTGCGGCTTCGGGGACAACAGCCGGCCCGCAGGCGCGGCCTGGGGTGAGGTGTCCTATCTCCCCACCACTCACGAACCCATTTGGGGGCTTATCCCAGGCAGGCCCTTCCCTGCTCTGGGCGGATCCTCTTGGTGGAGGGCTGCCGAGATCGCCACTTTGAACCCGAACCAGAAACTTATGCCTTCTTAGGTTCAGTCCTGGCCGGCCGCTGGTCCAGGGGACTCCGCAGCCAGTTGATGCCCACCCCGACATTCCTAGCTCCATTCCGCACCCAGGGCAGGAGGACCAGGAGAGAAGGCACCTAAAGGTGGCCCAGCGTTTCTGCAAGGGCAGCCGGGAGGCGGGGGATAGAGCCGGGTGCGGGGGAAGACAGCTCCCGTCCACGCGCCGCTGGGCTGGGTCTCTAAACGCCCTCCGGGTAGTGGGGGCGGGGGTACGTGACGCCCCGCTGGGTCGCGCTCCTCCTCGCCCTCCGCGGATGGAGGACGTAGTCTCTGGAGGAGGAGCCACAAGAGCTTCGCTGCCGGCGCTGTGGTTTCCCTGTTCCATGAGGTTTCCAAGTGGTCACGACCGAGATACGAAGCCAGGAGACGCAAATGAGGCCAGAATGAGGGGGGGAAAGCTTAAGGCTGCAGTTTCCGCAGTAACTCTTGGCCTTAGCCTACATAACCCCCCTTCCCCATTCATTTCGTCAAGGTTGGTCACCTCCCCTATCCTCGACTGTCCAGGTCACCTGGGGGCGCGTGCTGGTGCTCTGTACAAGTTGACCACCACCACTCAGATGCATGGGCCCAGAAATGGTTAGGGGCAGGCAATGTCTGTTCAGCTCTGGGACAGACCACCTCTATATGTGTAGTGGACAGCGCTCTGCTGGCCCAACTGCAGGAGGTTCCCAGGGCTGTGTGAAGTGACCAGTTCAGGAAGGTGCTTAGCGGGCTCCTAGCCCCACTCACCTCCTCCCTGACCACCAGGCTGTCCAGAGAGAGGCCATGTGGAAGTTACCTCCAGAGGGTTATTCAGGAATGCCCCAATTGGTTTCTGCCCCCGCTCCAATTCCTATTCCTCCCGGAGGGTCAGCTCCTCAGCCACCTTCTTTGATTTGTTCCTCCTTCCCCTCAGGGACCACTGAATTCTCCTCATTTGGGCTTGAATGTCTGGTGGCTGGAGAGGGCAAGTGTTGAGTTTTAGCTCTGGATCCCTGCAGAATAGAAGCTCAATAAATGTTTGTTGACTGGACAAATTAATAAATGATGGGGACAGAGAAGATGCCAAAGGCTCCTGAAACACCCAGGGCTGCTAATGGGAGGGATGGAGGGTGGGAGAAGCCCAGCTCAGAAATAGCTGCCTTAACTGTCATCCTTAATCAGAAGGCAAGGCATGGAGGAGATCCCCAGAGGCAGTAACTTACACTCAGGGTCCAGTTGGGTGTGGTCCCCAGCTGGGGTGCTGTGAGGGGGAGTTCAAAGGGACTAGGGGTTGAGGGGCACTGGGGTTTTTTCCTGGGTCCAATTCTCCCCACATCCACCATGTGGAGTCCAGAACTCTCTGCAGCCTCTTATCTGCCAAGAAACAACTTCTACTCCCCAAATACAAAAGAAATGGCTCAGAGATTGCACCAGTTTCCATGACATGGGGGTCTCTAGAGGAGAGAAAATGGGATGAGGGGGCAGGGGGCAGAGGTTTCCTGGAAATCTGACCACATCTCCAAGCAGTAAAGAGCCCTAGGCATATGGAGTTGAGAGACCTGGACCCAGAAAGGAATAGTGCCTGTGACAGACATGATGGAAGTTGGGCAGGGACAGCATCAGACTCAGGAGCTGTAAGGTCTGAGATAGGTCCAGGCCTGGGGATAATGCTGGACAGAACTGCAATTTGAAGATGGGCCTCTCAGGCAGCGGGGTCCAGGGCTTGTGGGGAGTGGCTCCTCCGGGGGACGGGGCTGGGGCTAAGGGAGAATATGGTTTGACGGTAGGCAGACACTCTGGGTCTTGTCACCTGCAAGTCTCTGGACCTAAAGGTGCTGTAGGGAAATCTTTTGGACTCAGGTTCTAACTGGCTTCCTCCCCTGGCATGGGTGTTTCTTCCCCTCCCCCACTGCTTACCCTCCCCCAGTGTAAGAGACCATAAATCCTAGCAATTTGAATCCCCCCACTGTCACTCATTGATTGTGTGACCACAGGCAAATTACTAGTCCTTTTTGTGCCTCAATTTCCTCATTCATGGAATAGCGGTTGTCCTTCTTTAGTGGATTGTTGGAGAGATTGAGTTAATATGTGTAAAGCTCACACTAGGTAGAGCATGTCATTAGAGTAAGTTCTACATGTTAATTGGCCTGGTTAATAGGAAGGAGTCGGGAGTCTGCGGACCTGGACTTGCACCCTTCTTTGGCCACTCACTCACTGAGGCCAAGGCAAGTCTGAGGAATGCTCCTCCCCAGAGGCTTGCTAGGTTTAGGCCTGAGGTTGAAGGAGGAGGATAACTTACTTCTGCTGGTGCCTGGGCAGAGTCAGGCAGTGAGTAGGATAGGGTGGGAGGCACTATGTGCTACTTTCAGAAATGCAAAAAGGGAGAAAAATACCTTATTATGAGCATAACTACATCCTGGGCACCATGAGGAAACCAAAGGGAAAAGAAGAGGAAAAGGAAGTCTCTTCATTTAATCCTCACAAGGATCTTAAAAGTTGCCCACCTGAATTATGCACTCCTATTTTACAGCTCAGAAAACATAAGCTGAAAGTGGTTAAGCAACTTGTCCAAGGTTGTACAACTAAAACATCCAGAGCCAGATGAGATGAGTCTGTCTCTAGGCTGAGGTTCTCAGCTGAGTTCTGCCCCCCCTTGCCCTGCCCCTTCTCTAGCAGAGTCCCTGTAGATGCTCCCTATGGTTTGTTGGTGGGTGACATGGGAGAACCAACGGATCAGAGAGCCCAGTAGAGCCCTGCAGGACACATGCTGCCTCCCTTACCAACACGCTCAACATCCTATCTAAAATTAAAGTGGGGAGAAAGCAGATTCTTCCTGGATGGAGCTCAGGTAATTGATCTATTAACCTGTCTGCACCTCAGTTTTCTCATCTGTAAAATGGGCATAATAATAGAAATTATTTCGTTTGGGTTGTTGAAAGGCTTGTTCTAGAAAATAAAACCTTTTAAAGTTTGCTGGGCACGTAGTTAGTAAATGATAGCCATTGTAGTTACTGTTCCTGTCATCCCTCACGCTGGCAGGCAAGAGAGAAGGCCTGCTGGACGGGAGATCCGTGTTGGACGCGCTCAAGGGTATAAGCCCTTCACGTCTGTTTCCGGTCTGAGCTTCGGTGGCCGCTTTTGAAATTTATAGGCAGAACTGGGGTGACTGCACAAGGCGGGTCTCCGGTGCGCAGGACCCACCGGGTTACAGGGACTTAGGGCTGACGGCACTGGCGACGACAGCTTGATGCGCGGTCCTCTCATCAAGTGGAGAGATGGTATTTTTGAAGCACCTTGTTCGGAAGCGCCAGGGGTGGGGCGGATCGCGGCTGGGAACCGCGCTGTTCACCCCGCCCGGAAGCATTCTGGGAGACAGCAGAAGCGGACCCTGAAGGTCTGCTCTTGAGGAGTCCAACGCAAGTAATTCAAGGGGATCAGTGGGACATGGGGAAGGTTCCAGATGAGGCAGAGCAGCTGACCCAGGAGGCTGGCGGACCGGCTGTGCCAGGTAAGTGAAGGCTTAAGCTTCTGGAATCTTCTGTTGAAAGCTTAGTTTCCCCGCATGGAAAAGGGGCCTCTATATCTGCCCTCCTTAGGAGGCTTTTGAAAGACTACCATCAGACTTGCTCCTGGTTGGCCTTAACCAAGTCCTACTGGCAAGTGTCTTCTTAGGATAGGAGGTCGTTGGGGCTTATGGAGAGTGAACCCAGATGAACTCTGTGCATTAGAAACTTTCACACTTTGAAAACTGAGAAGTGGAGGACCTCCCTTGTGTTCCTGGAGTCCCGGCCCCTCTTTGGCGGGTGACCAACAGAACTCTTGACCTCTATCCTCCTCTTGCTGTGCAAACCTGAACTTTCCCCAGCTCGTGGGGGCCTACGCGGTTTCTGGGGGCTAGGAGACAGGGGTGGCTGGAGGGCGGGGAACAGATACAGGCCTAGACCCTCAGGAACTTGGCTCTAAAAGTGCCGAGACGATTTGCCAAGAGTCCTTTCTCCAGCTAGTGAGCGCCGGTCAGGATGCGGGAGCGGAATCCGCTAAGATTAGGGCTCACGTTACCGAGGGGGCATCGACCGGGTCGGGCGCTGGCGCTCTCCGAGCCCTGCCTGGCTATCTCCCCGCTCCCCTAGCCGGCCAAGCCTGGCCCGCCGCGTCCTCGCAGGCCCGGAAGTGGGGCCAACACCGGGGGGCCCGACCCTGGTGCTCCTGACGCGAAGCAGGTCCGCTCCCGCCGGCTTCTACCAGCATCCAGACTCGCGGCGCCGGCGAAAAATCACCTAGGGCTTTCCGTCCCTCTTACAATTCTGTCCTTGGGCATTAGTGGCCTTGTAGGGCTGGGGATTTTTTTAAGAGAAAGGGAAGGGAAATAAAC